GAGGTGTTGGAGGGGAGGGAGTGGGCATGGATTTGATCAAAACACCTTAAATGCATGTATGAAATTCTCAATAAAGATTTTTTAAAAGTTAAAAAAAAGGGAGATCAGATCAGTAGCCTGGCTGGTATGGCAAGATCTGTGACATAAAAACCTTAGTGTCTATTGAGATTCATGTGAATAAATATGTGTATAGAAAAAGCCAGTGTCTAGTGAGAGAGAAGGGTAAGGACTTGGAGGCAGGCAGGTGAGAACACCTAGGGTATAGGCACCCTTAGTCCCAGCTCTTTCTGAGCTGCATCCCTGCCCTCCTGCTGGCTGGTCGCTGAAACTTGCCTTGGATTCTGAGGGCAATACAATTCTTTTGATGCCTAAGCTTGTTTGATTCAGGTTCCTCTTATGTGCAACCCAGATAACCCACTGCCTATTTCTTTTATCTTTGAAGTTACTCAGAGGGATCTACACAGAGTTTCCTTTTTAACAACCTCCCACCTGTCTTCAATTTAATTTCCGTTAGAAAACTCTGGCCGTGAAATCTGCACTTTCTCTGGGCTAGGACAGCTTTTCTAGAAGTATATTTTGTGAGCTCCTTTATGGAAAAGGAGGTTTCCATGGCCAAAAGCATTTGGGAAATAAATGCTGCATGCAATATTTCTACCTTGGAGGTCCAGGATGTCACATATTAAAGAATTCCTGCAATGCGTAAATGTGTGTAATGCTGTCTAGCCAGAGACGGATCCTTTTTATTGGTGTAACATGTAATGTCTCAAACTTCTGACGCTTCACAGGGCCTGTTTGGTGGCATCTTGTCTAGGTCTACACGCAACATCAAAATAGCAGATTGCTAGGGAGCCCCACTTAGTTATGTCTGATCCCCCGGGCCTCCTGATGTGGGTCATTAGCAGCCTGGAGGAAGGGACATTTGTGATAATTTTCATGGAGTTACCTTGTATTTATTAAGCATGAGCCCGTGGGGCTGCCTTTTTCTAACTCACCATATGTATTGACAGTGGTCTGCCCAACTATTGCCTTTCCCGAGGTCCTATTAGTTGGAATTATACCCAGGGGAGGAGTTTTCTCTCTGCTTTCTTTACTTTCTGAGCGTGAAGCTGCCCATAAATCAAGGCAGGGGTGTCAGAGTTATCTTCCAACAGGAAGGGGGGTTTTCAGATGTGGAGATGGTTCAGGATTCCTGTGACACATAGGGGATCTTTGGACTATCCTATCATTATTCTCCTTCCCTTGTTTAGTTTGCAAAGAGTTCTCGTCTGAGTCCTTCAGCCATCCTGGATGGCCAACGGGTTTCATTTTTTATTCACCTCTGCTTTTCAGATGAGTAAACCATGTTGCTCTACTTGGTCCAAGTTATATAGCAAAGAAAGGAAGACCTAAGTTTGACCTTGGGTGGAACTCACCCTGTTATGTCATTTTCTCTGTTTGATATACTATCTCTGTCTGTGGTCACTCCCTTAGCAGTCACATTTTTCTTCTTCTCCATCATCACCCAAATATCTTCTGGAATGACCTGTGCTCCTTCCTCCAGACATTGAGAGGTAGGGCAGTCATGTAATCAAGATGGTGTCTGTGTGGCCATGTGGCTTGACAGGTTAGTAAGGCTGTCCCCTGATGACTATGGTGGGACTGGGCTTATAGGCCCCAGGACCAATGACCAAGCATTTGGAAGTCTCGGTTCCCCCCTCAGGCAGACAAGCATCCCTCACCTTCTGGATCCTATTTGTCCTCCTTCAAGTGCACTGGTTTTACACCAACTCATGTGGGACCCACCTTCTGTCCCGGCTAGTCCAGGAAATAAACAACTTTGAGTAACCAGAGTCTCTCAGTCTGAAGAAACATATCGATGTCTTAAATGGAGACTTCAGCAATGATTTTTCAGAACAGAGGACTTTTTTAAACATTTGTTTTCTTTCTAAATTTATAATCATTTGCCAATTTTGAGACTGTGTATAAATTTCCTTCTCACTGTAACTCACTGCCTAATGTATAAAAGATGAATGCTTCCTTCTTTTGGGGTCCAGACTTTGAGATGTAAGTCCTCTGGACCAGGCTGCAGCCTACATAAACCTGCTTCCTGCATCTCCTGGTGTCTCTTACTTATCCCAAGACAATACAACAGAGGAAGGTCTGATAAAAGAATTCAGGTATTCCAACTGGGTGGCCTTGGGGAAGTGACTTTGTCTCAAGTTCCTTCTTTACTGAGGACAAGAAGCTCTTCCTGCTACTCAAGGCCATGATGAGGGGAAGACCAAGGAGGAGGGACATCATAGCCCCAGAGGAATGTGGGAAGTGGCTGCAGAGGCAAAAATCCAGAGCCAACCGTAGATGAAGGTTATGTTCCAATATGCTAACTACTCCACAATATGGTGGCACTAGTCCCTTGGGGCTGTTTAGCTTTAAATTAATTTTTTATAAGGTGACATTAAAAATTCACTCTCTCATTCTTCCTAGCTACATCTAACATACTTAACAGCACAGAGAGCATTCCCTTGATTCCAGAAAATTCTATTGAACAGTACTAAGTTGCTCCTCTAGCCAGTTTCTTGACCCCTGCCCCTACTTTCTATCCACCCTGCACACAGCTTCACATTGCTGCTAGTTGTTTCCCTAACTGTCCAACCTCCATGGAGACCATTTAAGTGGACAGTGCTGCTCTATTTCCAAGGGGTAGCTAGAGTTCCTGGCAGGAGTGAGGCTGAAGCTCTCAACGTAGATTCTGTGTTCGTCCGCTCCCGAGAGGTAGGACCTTTGTCTTGTGTCTTCTGCGTCAGCATAGGGCAGTTCTTCATTTCAAGTATGGACTTGCTCTGACCGGCATAGATCGTGGTCTAGTCAGACCAACTGAAGCCCAGAAGCTTGGGTCAGAACAGGGGTGGCCTGGCCATGAACTTACTGCATGATGTCAAACATATCGCTGCTTCATACTGGGTCTCAGGGAAAGAACACTCTGGCTTAGTATAGAAGAGCTCCAGACTGAAAACAGACTTCACAGGTAGTTCTGATAATAGCTCCCTCAGTCTTTGGAGCTCTTTCTGCCGAGAGCTAGAGCTCAGGTTCAAGGTCCTATTGCTGCAGGGGACTGGGCTGGGTGAGGATGTCTGTGATATAGATCCTTAGTGTGTGTGTGTGTGTGTGTGTGTGTGTGTGTGTGTGTGTGTGTGTGTATATTGTCTGTACATGCACCTTTGCTCTTGAATCAAGTTAACAGACGGGAAACTCCCAAATTACCATGGAAAGACAATTAACTTTTGCTTAGGCTTTGGACGCTGGGCTCGAGGATTCATTTGATTTCTATATTTCTCTCCTTTCCCCCAGGCAATTCAATAAGCAAGTATATTATGGCATCTGAAAGAAAGGTTTCTCTTTGGGAACCTGCCCCAGGATTCATGGTTGTTTAGGAGTGCCAAGGCCCAAGTATGCAGCCTGACCTCAGCATGGTTTGAAAAGCCTGGTCCTGTCAGTCAACTCTCAGGGATGCCAGAGCTCAGCAGGAACGCAGACTCTCATCCTGCTGCATCTGGGACTGGAGGACATGGAGGGGCATCTAATTTAGAGAAGTAGAAGGGTACCAATGAAGTGTCCCTTTACCAAGCACAGATGGATTCAGAGTACCCTGGAGCTAAGATAGGCTGCCCCAAGGCATCACCATAAATGATGCCCATGTTTCTCCTCTCTCTCTCTCTCTCTCTCTCTCTCTCTCTCTCTCGTTTTACTTCTTCAGCTGAGGAGCTGAGAATGACTCATCATGTGCGGTCAGTGGCCACTGTCACCTCGCTCCCTTCAAGACACTCAAATGAGAGGTGGTGGGAGGAAGGGGAGAGTGCTGCCGTGGAAGTGTGCTTGGCACTAGCAGCCGGCCGTCTTCAGGGTGGAAGCCCTTCTGCCTCAATGGCTGGAAGGCATGGCCACGAGGAAGCTGCACCTCAGGTTCCTGCTCAGTGGGTGCAAGAGAGGACGGGGCAGCAGGATGTGGAGAAAGAGCTTCTTGGCCTCCTTCCCTTCCTCAGCTCTAGCCTGAGGGGTTCAGGTTCTTTCTCCTGTTAGATTATCTCTCCATTCTTTCTCCTCTGCTGACCCCTCCAAGCCCATCTCACCCCCTCACAATCCTTCCTGCTATGCTGTGACCATAACATTACTTTTACTTCAGGTTTCATTTTTGTCTATGGTTGTCATTCTTGGGCACATCTTGATGTTCGTTTCCTGGTGAAATTCTAGAGACTGCCAGCATTCCTTGGCATATGGCTATACCACATTGCCTTCTTCTTTATCTGGCCTTCCCGTGCCCTTCTTATAAGCACGCTTGTGATAGCATTAGGCTCATCCAGAAAATCCAGGACAATCTCAAGACCCTATTCAAATACCACGTGCACTATGAGGCTCCCATCTCTGCAATGGTGCACCCCCTTCTTAAAGTCATGATCAAGGACTTGGCCTTTTTCAGCCTAACACCCTTACTTTTATGGTTAATGAATACATTGCAGAATGGAAAAAAAAGAATGCTTGAAACAGGCATACACAACATCCCAGGGGCTCATACAGGTTTGGTATCATGCCACCAGGCTCATGTCTTTTGGTTTTTTAACACTTCACGGCCCGCTTCCATCAGCCTCCAGGCAGCCTTCTCCTTTAGGTTGGACTTCCTGGCTGGGTCAGGTATTTGGGATGACTTGGAAAGGAACAGGCTGGTCTAGCTCATCATCTTCCTGCATCAAGCTGCTTACCCATCCAGCCATACCTATTCCCTCCAGCCTTCCTCCATACCTCTCCTCCAGCTCCCCTCCCCTCTCCCTGCGTCCCTTCTCTCTCTGTTACTCTAATTTTTTCCTCTCCCACTTGAAGCATCATAATGCCAGGGACTTCTTTACCATCTGCTGCCACACCCCCAACCCCTTGGTGGAAAACAGCTTATCTGGATCACGTCAGTCTTTCTAAGGGAAGCCTGCATCCCTAACCACCACCCAATGCCCCAGTTCTTGGGCCCAGCTCACCTGTCTCTCCCCAGATGGGCAGGTACTCATCTTGTTGAATGTCCAACATGATCTCCAGCCCGTTGCCCGTCCCCCCCTTGACCGTGGTGAGCAGAGGCTTGCCATCCTCGCCTGAGTTAAACATGTAACACTTCCCATATTTTGTAAACACCTGAAGGAGAGAAGAAAGAAAGAAAGAGAGAGAGAGAGAGAGAGAGAGAGAGAGAGAGAGAGAGAGAGAGAGGCACATGGTGACTTCACATTGAGCTCCAGGGATGAGCAAGACTCTAGAAGTCCCACAGTAGGTCAGAGTCCTAATAGCCTATTGACCACAACTCTTTTCCACACAAGTTTGTTCAGTGATCCCTCATCTTGGCTGATGTCTGGACTTTTGCCAAGGGGGATTCTGGTATCAAAAAAGGAATGTGGGTCCCCTCTGGGGCTTACTGAGTGGGATCTGGTTTCCTCTCCCTCTGGACATTCCCAGTGGGAAGTTGCATTCACTTCTAAGCATTACTTCTAAGCATTAAATAGGATCTAAACTCTTTACCCCTCCCCAGGGTTTTTTAAACAATATTTTATTTATTTTATTTTATGTGTATGAGTGTATTGCCTGCATGTAAGTACACCTGTGTCATGCAGTACCCACAGAGGTCAGAAGACAACACCAGATTCCCTAGAACTGGAGTTATGGATGGTTATTAGCCACCACGTGGGATGCTGGGAACCAAATCCAGGTCCTCTGCAAGAGCAGCCAGTGCTCTTAACTGCTGAGTCATCTCTCCAGCCTGTCCCCAAGGTTTTATGGGCAGTAGCAATTGCCGAGGAAAGGAGATTCTTCTCCAGGTGGAGGTGCCTGGAAGTCACACAAGGAGCTCTAGGGGTCCAGCTTTCATGAGCTGTCAGTCATGCTGGAATGGGTTTTTTTTGTGATATACCTGTCCTTGAGCTATTTGTGTTCCTATAAAGTAATCCCTCCTTTATGCTCCATTAAGTAACCCCAACAAACTCACTGGTTCACTCAGCTAGGCTTGAGTGACATTGTTTCTTTGGTAGGTCATTGATACTCTATTTGGTGTGAATAGACATTCTTTCATATCTCACCAGAAAATGTCGCTGGATACCACCTCATCCGACAGTTCTCCAGAACTCCTATCAAGAGGACAGAATCATCACCTGTCAAACCAGGCCCTCAAAAACACTGTGCACTATGTTTTCCTCCCACTGCATGTGTAGTCAGACAGCAACACATATCTATACTCTCTCTATATCCTCATTGAATTTAGCCTTTCTTCTTTTTTACCAGTATGATCTAGAACTCTGTCCTTTCTGGCCATGGATGCTCTGGCAGGCCTGCTGAATGCCAGACAACTTTATCTAGCTATCCATTAAGTTCATTGTTCTGATATTTAAACCTGATCATGTTCCTGTGCTGAAACTCCATCAGGGCCTCCCATCCCCTTAAGGCTAAAATCTACACCCTCTGTACCCAGCCTTCCAAGCTGTGATCTGCATGAACCTTCCACTTCCAGCCTCCTTCTTCCTACGTGAGGCCACAGGCATTGTGAAAACGTCATGGCTCAGGGGCTACATTTGCTTGTACATTTATGCACCTATCTCTTATAGCTCACATGGTGCCTGGCACACAGGGTGCCCCCCAAATATGTGTTAAATGAATGGATGAGGGAGTGGGTGGTAGTACCAGATCAAACAATTTGGAGCCCCAGAACATACCCTGCTGGCCCACTCACATCTGGATTTCCAGTTGCTGTTTCTGTCACCTGTAACTCTTCTCATTCCTCTGACCAGACAAACTCTCACAGTCTCCAAGACTGGACTGATGCCTCTCCTCCTCGAGGAAGCCTTCCAAGTTGGTCTACCCATCTCTCTTGCTTCCTCTACTCCTTCATCATGGCGCCTATCACACTGCACTGAATGGACCTCTTTTAAACTTGACTCTGCCTCTTGCTTCTGAATCCCAGCACTTAGGCCAGGCTTAGTCTACTTTTGCTTGATGAAAGCATGATCACAAAGATGTTGAGTGGAAAAAGTCCAGGGCAAAGGATGCAGAGATCTTTGCCTAAGTATTCACATTGACACTCGGTTTTGTGTATGAATTAAATAAGCTCTCCAAGTTTCAATTCCTCCATCCATAAAATGGGGCTTCTAGTCCTTGCCTTTGCTGCCTCTCAAGGTTACTGGGAAGATCAAATGAGATAATTCATTAAAACATGCTTGGAATACTATGAGCCTCCTATAAATGTTAGTGGTTTTTATGGTTCTATAACCACTTTGAAACCTTGAGTTGAAGCCAAGCTACATCTGGCAAAATTGGCTGGGAGAGCCACACCGACTGGATTAGATTCCTTCAGTCACTGAGATCTGGCTCCAGGCCACCTCCCTCACCATGCTTCACCATGCCATCCCATCCTACAGCACAGAGGTAGTCAGGAGTCCCTCCAGATCCCCATCATTCATTTGGGAGCAGATAAAGATCAGGAGCAGAGCTGGGGGTGCCTTTCCCATGGAGATCTTGAAGGCCACATGGAAGGAAGACAAATGGCACCTTGTGCCAGACACCGTGCAATGAGATATACCATCTTAATGAACCCTGCTAACTATGACCATGGGTGGGGATTGCTGCTCCCATTGTACAGAGGAGGAAACCAAGCCTCAATTGAAGGACTTGCTTAAGGTCACACAGCTGGTAAGTAGAGAAGCTGGAATTCAAATCCATGTCTGACTAACACATGTATGTTTCCTTGGTGTGCTGTCCTAGAAGGAACACGGGGGTCTGGGCCATTGGGTCACTTCTCAATGGAAGCACATTCCTGTCTTCTTTGCCTTGTTTGTTCTATCAGCCAGTAATTATTCATAGGCATGTGCTCCTACTACATGCAAAGAACACTGAGGTTGTAAAAAAGTATAAGGCTTACTGTCTGTCTTTATCATCCATAAGAAGGGCTAACAAAATAGCAGAGGCTACATTTTCTCCATTATACGGAGCAAGTCTGAATCCCTGGACAGCTGTCCTATTTCAGGACAACCAAGCCTTACATGCACAGCTTCATGGTGTGGGAGAGCAGCTGGAATTAAACAAAGTCCACAGCAAACAGTTTCTCTAAGAACTGAGTTTTCTTGTCACTATTGCTTACAGTGATTGAATTCAACTAATGAACTTGTCCCCTGGAGAGATGCTCTTGGGGGTCACTCTGACAAGCAGAGCATTTTGTAGTTAGCACATCCATTGCAAAGGGTTGAACACATCTGGAGTGAGTTCTGTGGTAGTCCAACAAAACTTTTTTCTCCTTTTTCCCCTATTTTGGTAGAGATTCTAAATATCCAAAACAACCCATAATTTTAATTTTCTTATCTTTATGAAGACGTTTGTTGGTAAAAGTATGTTTCAGCTTGGTATCACATATTGCAAATCCCACCCTGTCCCTTCTTTCTCTACTGTCTAGGTCTTGAACTTAGAATACTGGGCTGGGGTTAGAATGGACTGTCTACTCCCAAAGTCATCTATAATCTCAGCCCTGCCTTATACATGCCAAGTGGCTCTGGTAAAGGCCATGACCCTTCTGGAGCATCAGAAGAGGAGGATGAACTTTGAGAACTGAGTGTGATCTCAGAGATCATCTCCTTTGCCCTGCTCCCCGGCTTTACAGACAAGGACATAAAAACTAACAGCGGTTGTTAGTTGCTCGAGGTTACACAGAGGGGCTGGGTCTAGGTGGGATTCTGACTCCTGGTTCAACTTGCTGTCCTTTCTTTGTTACAGCCCCCCCCCCAATTTTCCCCTGACAAGGGGGGACAGAGACACTAGGGGCTTTCTCTGATCCCCCCCCCGTGAACTTCTGACTCCTGGTTCAACTTGCTGTCCTTTCTTTGTTACAGCCCCCCCCCCAATTTCTCCACTGACAAGGGGAGACAGAGAATCTAGGGGCTTACTCTGATCCCTCCCACGTGAACTTCAGTTGGTGATTGGCTGTCTGCTCCGTGTAAGACTGAGTTGGGGCAGAAGCCACATGAACTACAGTCTTTCTCTAAAGAGGAGGAGGTGGAAAGGTCCTTATAGTAGGGTTCACTGACATTCACTAACCTCTTCATTTTGACAGGCTCCTTGCCAAACTTGGCCCTCATTCTAGTCTGGACAGCAGCTTCTGTCTGTACGCTCATGTTGAGTTGATCTTTCCTACCCCTCCCGATGGGGGCACGGTGCTGGGACACATTAAGTGTGCCAGTGTGAGCTGATCTGGCAGAGTTGGTCAGGGCTGGGAGCCAGAGGTTGATTATTGTCAAGTCTGATGGCCAAGTGATGGTCTATGACAGCTGAATTCTTCATCAAGTCAGGCTTGGCAGAAATAAGCCTTAAAGTTCTTGCTTTTTTTTAACTTTTACAAAAACTTTATTGAGAATTTCATACATGTGTATAAGGTGTTTTGATCAAATCCATGCCCACTCGCTGTTTTAAGATCAAGTTCCAGATCCTCCCTGAGGTCTTGAACATCCCCTGACTCCTTTCTTCCCTCTCATGTGTCCTAGCCAGTTCAGTTCTGGGAGGTCACAGGATCTTTTCCCATAGAGACTTTCCACAGGCAGCTTCTTCTGTCTTGAATGTTCTCCCAACATGCTTTGCTACATCAGGCTTAACAGCCACCTTCCCAGAAAGCCACCTTCCTTTGTCCAACTACCTCAGCCCCAGGCTCCCGTATCTACTTGAGCTGGGTCTCCTTACTTAACCATCTCACATATCGTGTGGTGGTTATTGATTTATTTGTTGAACTTGTCTTCCACTAGACTGAGCTTCAAGGAATTTGTGTTTGGTTGAATGAATGAACCAGAACTCTAAGATGCTGCTGCCCCTCATCCCCTTGCCTACCTCTGGTAGGTGCTCTTGGGTGCTGCCTGACCTTACCTGGTGGTTCTGGTCAGAGTTCATGCTGGTGTCTTATCCAGCCTTCTTCCCTTCCATGTCTCCTGCCAGCTTCCTTTTCAACCTTACTAAGCATCTTTGTTGGTTTCTCTATGATGGTATTAGCGCAAATGATCCCTTCAGTAGTTGAGACGATGGGAGACAGTTTACCTTTGTGGGCTCAGGCCAGGGGGCTCTGGGAAAGCACAATGCCCACTGACTATCTCTGCTGTCTCTTCCTGCCTGGGCTGTGGAGT